GTGTGTGTATGTTTGAGATACAAACACTCAAGACTGCCAACATGGGTTAATTAGCATGTTACATGCCTTAAACCCCCAACGGGTGATGCCCTATATGGAGTAAAAGCCAGTGACTACTACCTTAGCTGTTGTTGTTGTTGTTGTTATTGCTTTTAGCCCGGAATATTTGCTAGCCATATTTATGTATGGGTAATAAATACTCTTAACTGCTGTCAGTTGTTTTTCGATTCACACACACACTCGAATATATATAGTCAATACAGGTAGACAGGTAGACGGACAGGCGAACGTGGACCCCACACCTTGAGTTCTCTTTGCGGGTCTCTGAAACTGTGCAACTGAATTGCAAATCTAATTAGCTGCTGCAGGAATGCAGCGAGGGGGAGTGGAATTACAGGTGGTAGTGATGCTAGTATTACGGCTAAGTACTCATATTGGGCATTTGCTTATTAATAGTCGTACTATATACATGAACATGATGCAACCCAGTAAACAAATGCCGCATTATGTTTGCCACTGCAATTCGTAATTTGAGCAGTGTTTTGTTGCACTTGAAATGCGCTGTGTTTGTGGTGGGAAAACAAAGCGGAATCAGTAGCTGTCAATGTTCAGTCAGTCTACTTACTAATTTTTCACCCCCTCGGGAATCCAACACGCAGAAAAATATCTAATAACTTGGCTTTGATCAATACTATTACTATTACTATTTATCGATAGAGAAATATCACATCGATATTCGAGTTTGCAATCAAAATATCATCAAGTTTTTATCAACAACCTATACTATATCAGATTTGGTTACGACTATTAAGATTTACTGATTTTACAGAAAATCGATAAATAAAAATCGCTGATATTAAAGCTTAGAATAATTATATCAATAATATTGCCTCAACAGTCTTTACTCTTAATGATTTCCCCACAACTATTTCGATTAATAGATTTTAAATCATATCGATAAATAAAAATCCCTTCGATACTAAAAATTTGTTTTTAATCATGATCCATAATGATATGTCATGGTACAAAAAATCGATAAGTAAATGCCCCATCGATAATGAAGGTTACAATCAATAAATATATATCATTACATCGATAACCACATTTACGTTTAGAAAGCTTAACATCATTCTTCTCTGTGCACCTTCATGATCTAGTTATTACCCTAAACACCGATCGGAACTTGTGGGTGAGTCTAGTGATGGGTGTAGGTGTCACAACCAAATACGTCTGACATTCCTAGGGATATCACCGTGTGGGAGCTCATCATAATCATGAACATCATCATTGGCAAATAAAATCGTTTACCTAGTCGCTTGTAATTCCATCTACACACTTGAAATATATACAGCGGTGAGTTTTCAAATTAATTACAAGTCATTTGAAACACACACTTACACTCCACAACACGATTCGAGTGCAAACAACTATTCTAGACAGATCTTGACATTTGCATACCAAACAAGAAAGAGATGGCATTTGATAATTAGAAAGAGAAAGACGGAGCGGACCAGGCACACACAGCTTGTTTCCTTATTTGAGCAAAAGCTCAACAGATATATCGATTTATTAATGAAACTTTGTTTGTTTTTATCTGCGATGGCTAAAGATAGATTTCGAGATCGAAATCGAGAGATCGAACCCACACACGGCCTAAGCTATTCAAAAATTCAGTCATCAATGTCATAAATTAAGACGAATAAGTGCATCTGTTATGGTTATTGTTGTTGTTAACATTCAGTTTTGGCCATTTGATATGCCAGCTGGTCAAGTTCGTCGCCTGCGTTGAAGTCTTTCGTTTCGTTTGGCCAGAACCAAAGATTGCTGATGTCATGGGCAGGGCAGTAAAAAAAACGCCACCTGATTCTCTCTTTTTTTTTTTTGTTTTTTAAGTAATTCTCGTTATTGTCTTGTTATTTCTGCTGTTCCCCCTCAAATCTGGCATTGACTTTATTGTAACACATACCTTAACGTATTATAATAAATCAAAAAAAATGCCAAAAATATCCAAAATAATCTTTTCAAATTCGAATGATGACGTGAGAATCTGTCTGTTTTCATTGTTCATTTTTTTGGGGGCTTTCTTTCGAGGCGTTACTTTTTCATGGCTGGGCGCTTTGACTAAACATTTGTATTGGTCATGGCATTTTGGCCAAATATAAATGCTTAGCATACATACACACTCGTATATAGTTAGTACTCTCAAACTAACAAGCAATGAAAAATGGCAAATTGCTAGGGAAATTATCTGATGCTCATATAATGAAAACGTTTGTCAGAACAATTCGACACAGATCTCGGCGATTTGGCACACACCGTCGCCTTGGGTATCGCGGCAATTTATTATTCAAATTTAGCAATTGAGCGGCTTAGGAAGTTTACGTGGCAGCCGCAAGGTTAACTCAAGATTTGTGGCACTCGATAGATATATGGCGGCTTGAAGTGCACTAAATGGTAATGAAAACAGTAAATCGTTGGGCTGGATTAAATGACTTATAAGGTATTAAGCTTTTGATATGTATCTTAAAAGATAGTTCATAACAACTTTAGTGATTTCTGATGGGTTTTCCAGTACAAAGTTTAGCTTAAAGGTAAAGGAAACTGAACAAATTCCGACCTAATCTGCATCAATTGGTTAGCTTTAAAGGAAAATTAAACCAAGTTCAAAATTATTTCCTCAAAATAAAGTTGTTATAAGCAACTTTTATAGCCCAAAGATCATCATTTGAGAATATTTCTCCACTCAACTAACTAGAGCGTGTAAAAAGCAGTAATAATTAAGCTAAAAGCGGCCATAAATATGCACTAATTTGTAGTGAGATCAATCGGAACCACGTGTAAGGTACTTGAGAATCACTTTAAAGCTCAACAGGTTTTATGTCTCAAGTAAGTAAGGGGTAGAGTAAAGTCACTGATTGATTGTGTTGTGTTTTGTTTTTGCTTTTGTTGTGGGTGGTTCATAGATCAAATCAATTCGCTTGCACAATTTATAACTTAATTACAAGCTCAAAGCAGCGTTACAAACAGCCAAAGGGGCTGCTGTTTAGAAAATTACTTTGGCGCTTATTACTATTCGCCTTAAAATCTTAATATATTTTCCCAACGTTGACCCACAAAATCCAACTGATCATTAATTCAATATAAAAAAAACAACTGAAAATAGGTATTATGTCATAAATGTTGATTCTGATTTGACTTAAGTTTTGTTGAAAAACAAAAAAATTAAATAAGATCTGAGAATCGCTGTAAGGCAAATCATTTGGTATGCAAAACAAGAAATATCCTTTTAAGTCAAACGAACTTCATTTGCATAACTCTATACTATATATATATATATATTTGTAAGATCGCATGACATCAGACACCCGCAATATACATAAATCCTTGGCCACAGGCAGACAAGAAATAATGAAAAAAAATCAGAAAAAAGAAAAACAAAAAGAAAAACAGTAAATGACGCGCGATTGAGTTTCACATTGTCAAGTGATTTACAATTCGTTCGCCTCAATTGAATTGAACGCCATTTGGCAGCCGCAGTTGCATGTTGCCAGTTGCCAGTTGCTGGTTGCCTCATGGTCGCTGAACTGGCAGCATCATTGAGCATTTATGTGCGCCATCGATCAAGTTGGAGTCAAGCAGCAAACAACAAGCCGCAGCCATGCATCTGCGTTTCGCCGCCAGTTACGAAATAACCAAGTTTTTGTTTTTATTGCATTTTGCCAGTTGCCAGTTTGACACACATACTGCGGAAATGTATCTCAGCAAGCGATGAGTCAGTGTCGAAAATAATTCAATCTTTGGGTTTTACTAATCACAATATCCGTTGCACAAAGTCGTTTTGAATGCTGTTTGTATTATTTTATGGCTCTTTAATTGGAAGATTTTTATTTGAGATAAAAACTTTTAGTGGCTGTTGATTAATACTGATTTGGCATTATTGTTTTGGTTTTTTTTTTGTATTAATGATTTGTTATTAGTTTTTAACATACTTTTACTAAAAATTCCTTTATGAGATCATAATTTGTTTTATAATAAAAATATTCCAAATATTTCAAACTTTTTATGTGGTTTTGCAAATCAAAAGAAGTTTTATTATTGATGAAAAAAGTCCCAAAAAAGTAGGTTTATTAATTATTTAAACATTTTAAAACCACAACGTATACTTTTTTAATTAATAATATGTTTTTAAAGTCATAATATTTTGAGATATATATTTTTCTAAAATATTTTTTATACTAAAACTTGAGTTTCAGTTAAGCAAAAGCACGGCCATTGAGTAACTTTTTATGTTTTTGATATCAAAAAATGTCAAAATAAAGAACCAAAATCAGAAAAATAACCATACCTTAAGTAGAGGAATAGTTAGGGTATCTTTTTCTAAGATCATTATTAATTTATATTTATATTTATTTTTATTGATATTTTTAAGTTATTTCGTTAAAAACTGAATCCCAACACAGCTTTATCTCTGTACCAACTCGCCTTGCCTTGCCTGCCCAGTGGCTGTGTAGGTGGCCAAAACCAGCCCCTCCTCCGCCTCCCACTTCACCGGCTTTAAAGCCAACTTACGGCCTTGCTGTTGACGAACTGTAGCAGCAGCGGCAGCAGCATCGTTATGTGTGTCAGTCAGCAGCGGCGGCGGCAAAGAGAAGGCAATCGAGTTGCCTTAAAAGGCTGGGCCGCGTTCGCCAAAAAAAAATAAAAATATAGTAGCTCATAGCGTGTCAAGACTGTAGCTAACTGGTGGTTGTGTGGGCTGCTGCTGCTGCTGCCAAGCCAGCTCAATGAATCGATCCAAACGCCCAAATGAAAACAAACTCTAGACGGGGGGTCACCTTCAGTCGCTAAAGCGGTACGTGGGCGTTTGCTGTCTCGCTGACTTTGAATCGCTGCCCACCCAAAAAAAAGCGGCGCCCACTATATTTTTTCGATTTTGCTCCAATTGCTCAATCAATGAAGTACTATTATATAGTATTTTGTAATAAAAAGAAAAAACTCACCTGGAAGTGTAATATAATAGTCCAGATCAGACCCAGGGTCAACTTGGGATTGCCATCGACAATATCCTCGGCACGTATATTGACCAATTTGATTTTCTTATAGCGCAAAAAGTCCAAAGCCATTTGTGCATTCTGCAGCATATGGAAACGCATTTTACCCTTCTCGCGTGGCTATAAATAGTAGACGAGATAGTTAAGTAAGTAACAAGAAAAGACATTGGCGAGAGCGTGACAAAACTGCTAAGAAATCAATTGAATAACGCTTACCAGGTGTTCGCCAGATAGCACCTCCAGGAGTGAAAGTAAATTGTGACCATCGCGCAGATCTTCGAACAAGTCCACCACACGACGATTGGCCTGCAGGTTTTTGGGGGAGGCGGTTGCCACATACCAAGTAAAAGGTGAATTCAAATAAATTAGAGAGTAACCCAAAGATAGAGTTAAAAAAAAGTAAAATCAAAGACATGCAAAAACACAAAACAACTTAAAAAGAAGGCTGGGACTGAACAGCCAAACAAATCGCAAGATAACTTGAAGATTTTTGGTTAAGTAGCAGCAAATGAAAACTCAAATGGCAGTTAAAAAGAAAATATAAAATAAAATTATAATGCTTTTAGCAAGAAAACTCAAAAAACTGAAGAAAACAACATCAATTTGCAGTGAAAAAGAAAACTAACAAAAAACTTTTGCTAGGAAACTTGCAATCAAAAAGAAAAAATATCAAACTTTCTGTGAGAAAACTCAAAAACTCAATAAAACAACATCAATATTTTATTTAAATATTTAAGATTAATCTCTTTTTTTAATCCCAACTTACAGACTGAGAACAACAGGGAATGCCATTTGTGGTAACACAAACATGTAGCATAGTATAGGTCTGAAAATCAGCAGGAAAATCAGTTTAAAACTTTTTATAACCAAAAACTAAACTCTTTAAATATTAACTAATTAATACCTTAGCATACTTCCAATGCTGCTTGTGGGAAAGTGGGGTAAAAATGTTGGAAATTTATAGATTTAATCAGTAGGTTTCATAAACTTGAGTTGTGTTTTTTTTTCAATAATTTCTTTGTGGGTCGCCCTGTGTTAAGCTCGCTGGATCATTAACTCACCTTTTTCAGATGTTTGTTAACCCATTTTGTGAAAGTCTTCTTCTGAATGGCATCGCGTTCGTCTAAAGTGGGGAATTAGTGTAAAAAAAAGAGATCACATATTAGTATTTCTTGATAAACTTGATTTTGATTAGTAGTCAAAATGTCAGAAACAAAAACAAAACTCATGCATTGCTTGGGAAGTTTGTGCCGAAAGAAGAGCCAACGGGAATCACGTCATCTTTGTGATTGAGAAATCTAAAAATTATGCTAAAATGCTCAAAAAATGTTAACGCCCACCTTAAAAGTTATTAATTTAAGGCAAAGATTATTTTTGGTTTTTTTGTCTACATTTTTTATGCCTTTTTTTAGCAACTTTAAAATGCGGGCGGGCGTTGAATAATCTTTGTAGGGTCTTAATTAACTTGTTTGAACAAATGTTCCTTTTCCAACTGTTGCTAATTAATGTTTTATTACAGTTTGATTTTCCCATTTGGCCCCACTCTCATACACCCCCTCCTATCTATATTTTCGTTCAGGGTCTCGGCAAAACTTTGGTCAATGTTTTTCCTTTTTGGCCTGATAAATACAAAAATCGATAAGAACTGGGTGGGCGGGAGTTAGGTAGGCAGGCAGGCAGGCAGTTAGCTTTTGCTTTAGCTTTGATTTGTTGGTCTGACAAATGACGTGTGTTGTTTCTTTGTTTGTGGGTAAAACCCATCTATAGATAAGCTAATGGTCATGTTGCCACAACTTTCGACAAATTTTTAAATAAAGTTGTTAAGCATTTTTCTGTGGGAATTAGTAAACTTTAATAGCTCCATGCAGGCTGGGCAATTATTTAAGTTAAACACCCTTTTTCAACGACGCAATCTAATCAGCGGTTAACAAAGGAAAGGTTCTGCAGAGATCCATAAAAAGGCAAACAAACCCTAGGGAAAAGTCAACGTCAACGACTTGGAGTAGAAGTCGGTGGGTGTACTATAAAAAGGTATTAAAAATCGGCTGATAAACCCCGATAAATTCAAGTGCCAAACATATAAAGCCATAAACGTAGTAGAACAGCGCCAACGAGCAGAAGCTAAAAAGCAAAACAAAAGCGCTAAAAGATAAAGCATAAAGTGGCTGAGAGAACAAGTGACTATAGTTGAACGATCTTAACCAGTTTAGCTCTACCTCTCTCTCTTCTCCACTCTCTCTCTCTCTCTTTTAACTTCACTTACTCTCTTTTTTAAGTGTGTGAAAATATCAAAGAACGAAGATTAAATGCCCTTAGTAAAGGGTATTATTAAGTATATACTTAACCACCGTTTAGGCGACAAAAAGTCTGAGCAGTTTAAAAAACTAACCTACTTGTTTTGGTCAACAAAAGAAGCGTGTTTATTGATAAACAATTGGCCGGCCAAAAACTAATTGGCAAATACGTGATGGATCGTCGCTGAGAATTCTGTTTAAAGTCCAACAAGACAGTACTAACTGGTTATAGCGAAAAGAGTTTTAAACTGCAAAGAGCTATAATATTCCAGAACCAATTAGTCAGTTTGGTATGACTAAGTCATGAAAACATGTTTATGGACAACTTAGAACAACTGTTATTTAAAAAGAAAGAAAGAAAACATAACTAGTGAATAGAAATTTGAGGAATTCTATGACTCTTACTAAGAGGTTCTTGCCTTTAAGGTTAGAGCTCTAAGTACTTTATATACCCTACTAGTAGTACGTACTAATAGTAAGCTTAGCCAAGAGAGTAAGACCTCGATCTTGAACTTGTTTCAATCCGCTGATGACTCATCCGTTTGCAATTTTCCATTCAAGCAGAGAGATTCCAAAACACTGAAAAACTCTCCCATTCATGGAAGGTTAGCAAAAAAAAAAACGTTGTTCTTTTCCCAAGAAATCTTTCTGCACGATTGCATGCAACACCAGCAAGCAACAAACGATTCGTAATCGGGCTTATTTTTATCTATCTCTAAGCCAAGAACAACACACAAAGAGTTCATAAATATTCACACAAATAATGATTGTGCAAAGGTGTACGACTTCACCGGCACAAATACCAAAAAAACGAAGAAGAAAAAGGTAAAAAAAAACAGGGTAGCACACTATCTGGAAATGTGTGTGTGTCTGTGTGTGTGCGGGATTTTGAAGAGCGCGTGATGATGTCACGTTCTAAGTTGAATTCGTTTTCGACGATTAAACGTTCGTTAAGTTGTTGTAGAAGAGCAGCAATTCGCCGCCGAAGCTTATTTGATATTTGTTAATGTTTATTTTAGCATTTAGTCATTGTCATTGATTAGCACACTTAACCTTACAAGGACGTTTGATCATACATCTTAGACATTGCCAAAAAAGCAAAGAAAAGGAGAGAAACAGTTGCAGTTTCTAGTTAATAAACAAATCAATATATAAATTTATAACCAAACTACGTGAAAGTTACCTAACAAAGTCAGTTAGTGTTATAGATATGCCCGTTGAACAGTTTTATTGTACGTTTTTTATGAAGGACGTTGGCTTGATCATGTTTTTTTTTTGTACATTTGCAATCGGCGATAAGGAAAATTCACGCATTCGCCAGATATAAACTATGAACTCACTCACTCACTTATTATTATTATTATTAGCGCATGAAAATGCACTTCAAATGGAATTCAAAATATTTTCAACTTTTTATCTGCCAGCTAATCAAAGTCAACAACAAAAATTCCCACCTAACGGCGCCAGAAAAAATTAGTCTTAGACTATCGAAAAGCCATAACCATCAGCATAAAAAACCCATATAAATGTTTACAAAAGTTAATAAACATAAACCAGTTTTTTTTTGGCTGGACAAATGAGTTCATTTTCTTGGAATTCTAAAGTTTGTTAAGACATTTTTTGGGTTTCTTAAATTCCAAAGCAACCCTAACAAGGGGTAACTCAGCTAACTCTACCCCCATAAGCGTAATTCAACTCATTAAACTCAAGGTCAAGATGTTAGATGGCACCCTTTTATTTGTTCAGCATTTGATGTGCCAAGAAAGGTGCGACTAATGGTCGGCAAATGTGTTTGTATTTGCCCAAGAAGTGTCAACACGCATTTCATATTCGGCGACTGTCGGAATTTGTAATATATATATATATATATATTTATAAAACCCACGATAAGGCCTTCGATCAAAGCTACCAAATGCATTGCAAAAAAGTGAGGTAATTTATTCGTCATGGCTTAAATTTGTTTGTTCTCCGAGATCTATTTCACATTCCTTATGGATTTTGCATAAATTTTGACTTAAAGACTTAGAAAAAAAACCAGTTGGAAAGATAATTTAAAACTTAAAAAACTTCTTTGGACTCTGAGCTGAGGGGTCGTCTCAACCTTGACCCTTTATAATTTGGCTCCCAAGCTTTGGCTTCCGTCAGATGAAGTCAGTAAGAGTGGAAGGCAGTTAGAGAACATGTTTTCAGGTTAGTTAAGCTAGGAAGCCGCGACAGAATCATAATTGAAATTCATACAAACAAGATACAAACGATGCGAACTTGAAATGCAAATCATTTCCGCTGGAGGAGTAAAGTTAATAAATCTTTTAAATTGAAGAGGAAACACAACATCAAAGAACTGGAACTGGAACTGGAACTCATGCCAATCATGATAGAAAAACCTATATCCCACTTACGCATTATATCCCAATCTTCTATAAAATGATCCCAAATGGACATGGTACCTTTAAACTGGGTAAGGGCATCCTCGTAGCCACCCTGCGGCTGTGCCTGGGTGGATGAGTGCTTGGCCTTCTTGGGTGCACCCGGACTATTACTGGTCTCATAAAGCGGCGATGATGCACTACCCGACGCCGAATGGCGATGATGATGATGGTGATGATGCTGCTGCTGGTGATGGTGACTGTTGTTGCTGTTGCTGTACAGCTCACGATCTCGTTGCTCCCGCTGGACCTGCTGGTACTCCAGTGTTCCATTGTTAACCGTGGCTAAGCCCGGACCACCCGGTGAAACGGAGATTCTTGCCGGCGACTGACTGCTACTAGTGGTGGCATGATGGTAGCTCTGATGATGGTGCGTCGTCTGACGAGAGCTGCTACGTTTCATTGAGTTGCTGCCACCGCTCCCGGGCTGCTGCTCATTGGGATCAAAGCCCAGGCGGTCTTTATAGTAGGAATGCGATGTCATCTTGCGGGTGGCACATTAAGAGACTCAGAGATACACTCAAAACACACACACACTCGTCGTCGTCGTAGCCGTCGTCAACTTTCGCCGCAAACTCTTATTTAATTTTTTGCCGATTTTTAGCACGTTTTGGGAGTTTTACGAATGTTTATTTTGCGATGGCACTTTTTGTAATTTTAATTTTCCCTCTCTCTCTTTCTCGGTTGGCTGGACCTGAAGTTGGGAGTTGTTGGTTGGTTGTTGGTTTTAAATTTAAATAAAAATTTGTTTTCCTAAATTAGCCGCGATGATTCAGCTACAGACGCTGCGATCCGCGTACTTGAACGTGAAATCATCAGAGAACGGCGATGGCAAATGAGTTGCAATTAGCGAGATACCAAAGAGGAATGTACTAAGCACTAAACTAAATTTAAGTAAAAGTTCTCGTTGTGGAAGTTGGCTAAATGCAGAGAAAGAAAGTCTATGATAAAGTATTAGAAACTTGGATGTGTTTATATCTTAAGAAAGATTTTAATTTAACTATTTTCTTGGCTTTACCAACCCAAAACTGTCATAAAGTGGGTTTTTTTAGGTAAATTACAAGCCTTAACACCATTTTGTAATCACATTTCCAACCTCAAGATCAAGTCTATATGTTTTTTCAATAAATAATATCTAAATGATTATCATTATATTCATTCTTCCTGTGTATTATAAGAGGCATTTCTTTTATATATCCAATCTAGTTGAGTTTATGTTTTTGTCGGCGTTGCCGGCATTTTGTTCCAATTGGCCGTTGGCCAAAAGAAAACGTGCTGAGCGAAATGTATCTAACAGATACGGATATAATTCACTATATACACTAGCATACATGGTGCATTTTGTCGCCAGAGGCGAACGAACTATGGCCGACGCCATCGGCATCCATCAGATGCCAAGATACTAAGATACAATGGGAGAAGGGCGATCACTTTTACCCACCCAGCAGCCAAATTGAAATTTATAAAGATAAATTGAAACTGAAATCAGACGCGCAGCTGCACCATACAAAGCTCAAGAGTAAAAGCGAGCACTTAAATCATTTCATGTCCATTTTTTCCCTCTTTTTCTTAACCTTTTCTTCAATTTTTCTTCACTTCTTTTTTTGCAATCTTCACAATGACAAAACTGCGATCCAATTTTTTTCGTGTACTTTCATTTGCTTAACAAAAATCTCCACTTCTGCCCTGATTTTTACTCGACTTTTTTTTGTGCTTTTCTGCTTTTTTGATGGGTGATTTTTTTGATTCAATTCATGAGGTCAGCTTGGAGCTGTATTTCTGGCTCGGACCCGTAAGCACACAATAAGTATAAATAAATAAATAAATGCCTAGACACGCAACCAGCTGCGGGCCCAGGAGACGGGTTGTCGCTCTGATTAGATACGAATACAATTATATATCTGTATATATATATATATAACCCATATAGTCAGTCGTATATGTAGATATGAACGGACGATGGACAAGTATCTTTCGCTCTCTCAAAACTCATTTTTCATTCAAAGTTTGTCGAGTTTAGTTTACTTTGTGCAGCTGCTAGAGGGTAAGTTTGATTTTAATTGGGAATTTATTATGGAAAATCAATAAATATAGTCTTGATAAGTATGCAGTTTTAGAGATATGATTACAAATTTGGTTTTTAAGAAAGGTTTAAAACTCAAAATGGTCTAAGAATCTCTTTTATGTTAAACAAAAAATTATATAAATTGATTTCGAATTTTTCGATTATTCCTCAAAATTTATTGACTCCCTAAAGGGTATCCAAAATTCCCTATTCCCTCTTCTATTTTTCCCAATTTGTTTGCTTTGTCTGCTTTAAATTTTTAATTTATTTATGCAAACGCTGGGCGTAACTCAGCTAAATGACAAACAAACATTTTTCTTGGCCACTTTTTTTCTTTTTGCGAACTTTTACTTGAATTTTGGTTTAGGTTTTAGTTTTTAGTTTTTAACCAAATTTTTAGTTCATTTGTTTTGTTTTTTTATGTTTTTTTTTTAAATGATTTTTTCCAGCGTCAACAGTTTTTTGCATCTTTCACTTCGCTTGCTTTCAATAATTTTCACTCATATTTTTAGTTGCTTGTTATTGTTATTGTTATGGTTTTTTGTTATTGTTATTTGCTGGTTGCTAGCTGCTGCTTGTGTTCCGTGTGCATTTTCCATTCACATGCAAAATTTCACACAATAAATTCACGGAAAAAATATTTCCTCACTGCCACTGTCTGAACTTGGCTTTTCGCCTCTCTCTTTCTTGGCTCTTTCTAACTAGTCTCCTTCTTCACTTCTTTCCCACCCCCATTGGTTGGTGGCACAGTTATGCCAAGTTGTGCATTTTCTCTCATTTTTCTAAGCCAGGTTTAAACGGGAGAGCCGGAATTAAGTATGCCTGGCATGTCAAGAAAACCGTGTGTTGAGAACTAACAGGTAGAAGGAGAGAGCGAGAACGAATAGAAGTGAAAGAGGGAGAATAGGGGTTACACTGGGAGAAAAATTACACATTTATTGGTGAGAATACTGCATTAAAAGAGTATTTTGGGAAATCTAAGTAGTTAATATTCAAATATTAAAATTGTTAATTTTAAGAATATGTTTTAAAATATTTCAATTTTAACTTTAAATTAAAGTTTTTAATGCATTGTTGACGTTTTTAAGGGAAATCAAAAGGATCTAGTACTTTTTTCATTATCTAAATGACTTTTTGGGTAAGAAAATAATATTTTTACTTAAGGCAAGTTATAATTTCTAACAAGGAAGCCACCTCTACACCTTTCTAACCAAACAATTTAAGAAATAAACTCTTCCAAAATGCACTTCCCCCACTAAGAGATATATTTTTCTGGGTGCAGAGAGCGTTGCATGCGTTTGGCATGACTAATTTGTCTTTATAAAGACCAAGAAAGAAAAAAAACCCAAATGGGATACAGACTACAGTGCGGGTTTGTGGATTTTTATAGTGCGTGTGCAGCGATCAAAAATCCGAGACCAGATCGCCCCTAAAGAGCAATTCAAGCTCACCAAAAATCTAAAGGAAAAAAAAAAAACAAATCTGACAAAAAACTGGTTATTGAATGAAAAGCCAGCCGACGACAGACAGCAACAGCAACAACAAAAAATGGCAAAAACAACAACGCACAACTTAAAAGAAGTTGGGAGAAGTTGAAAATTTCTCGTTTGCGACAGGCAAATATTTCAAAAATGCAACACAGCTGCTGCTGCTGATGTTTTTTTTTTCGAAAACTTAAGAACTTAAGTTCTGGGGTTCTAAGTTCTTTGGTTTTATTCATTTATGATTTCCATTATCGGTTTTAGTTTATTTAGGACGATAACACAACGGCGGTCATTCATTCAGTCACTCGATTTAGTCATTTATTTATTTTTGTATAGAGTTTCTGTTGACGTCTTCGCTGCTGTTGCTGCTTTAACACATTTTTCGCACTACAGATAAACGCGGTTTTTGTTTTATGTAAGTTTTGACTGTCGATTTTTTGTTTTTTTTTGTTTTTTGCTTTTTTTTTTAAACAATTATATTTATTATAATTTTGCACTTTGTTTTAGTGGCAGCTTCTCACTTTTTTTTTTCTAAGGGCCAAGTTGCGTTTGCGCTCGTTAACTGCGCGTGAGTGTGTGCGTTAACAAATTGTTGTTGCCACACCACACAAACACATCTATATATATATATATAGAGAGATATTAACACATATATGGACGCAACGCACGCACACACACAGTCACTGGTGAAGAGAACGAAGTTCTAGCAGAGAAACGCCCAACCGCTCGGTATCGCGGTTCAAATTTGACTGAGCGCCGCGTTGTGTTAAGCGAATTCACTTTGGGTGCTGCTGCGGCGCTACAAAATGCAAGAGATACAAGAGAGCGTCAAAAGAAAAGAGCGAAGAGATGTCACAAATGAGAGAGCGGGGGCGCGAGCGAGAGCAGGTGAGTATGAGTGAGCGGAGCAGGTGTATGGCCAATGTGTTGTTGCTGACATTGCTCTTTCTCTCTCTCTCTCTATGTCATTTGAGTGAGCAAGATCAGTTGCTCAATTTGTTGTGAGTGAATAAACGGTATTGATCTGCTCGCTCATTTACTGTTCATTTGTTCATTTATTCACTCGATTGATTAGAGCAGTTTATCAACGGTTCATTTTGATCTGTTTTTAATTTTAGAAGTAATCAAACTCTTATTAAAAAACATATGAGATTCACGCAGAAAAATAAGAATGAATTTACTGAACTTTGGAGAAAAACGGAATTCACTTTAACTAGTGAATTAGAAGCTAAGCAAATGAACAACTTAACAAGAAAACTAATTTCTAACATGTTAATTTTAATCACTTAAATGAATAATAACTCATTTATATATTTAACTCACTCGTAAGCAACTCAAAAGCTATTGCGTGGCCGGTTTAACGTGGGAAGAGAAGAGCGTAAGAGAGACAGATCAGAGCTCTTTGAGCTTCATTAGAAGCTTAAGCCGCTGAATGAATGACCAAAAATGTAGCTCTGAAGTGAGTTAGTAAGAGCAGTGAGAAAAATAAGTATAAAGAAATCTGAATCTCACTTAGATATCCAGTAAATTACTTTTAAACTAGATAAGTGACATAGATAATAGATAGATAGATAGATAAAGACATTTGATCTCAAAATTGATCATAATAACAAAGACCACGTTCTTAAAATGTTAAGAATTGCGAAGTATAAAAGGTACATTACTATCATTCAGATAATTTACCAATCAAACTATTTAACTTTTAACTTTTCTCCCAGTACATGCGAAATGAAAAGAAATTCCTCATATTTGGTCACAGCGCTGGCCATTTTTTCTGCGGGCCAGAGGAAGCCGCTTAGACATGTGGGCCCGCCGAGCCAGCCAGAATGAGAAGAATAAAAAGAAAATAGCATAAACCGCTAATGGTCATGGCCGTTAATAAACAGAAAGCCCTAATTTGGCTCTCGTCTTTTTTGTGGTTTATTAACCGAGCCGCAAAGAAATAGTCATGGAAATAAAAGGCAACCACAGATCGACACGCACTTGTAAACAAATTTTGAAACACAAAAAAAAAAAAACAAAAAAACAAAAACACTGCAGTTGAAAGAACTTTTCCGTTTTCTGCCATAAAACATAAACACAAACAACCAGCGGCCAAAAATAAAATATGAAGTGTAAAAATAGTTAAAGCAACCATAAAAATGCAATTAGATTAGAGACCAAAGAGTCGAATCTTTTTCCAATTTTCCACTCAAGAGCAAAGACTAAGAGAGTGTGTGTGTGTGCGTGTGTTGACCATCGATCAGCTGAGTTGCATTTAGCTTTTTCGGGGTGACATTAGGTTTCAGTTTATTTTATTTTTGAAAAACGCGTTATGAAAATGGAAAGTGGTATTGCATACAGCCATGAAAAGTGAAAAAGAAAAAAAAACGTAACCTGATCCGAAAAGCCGCTATTGGGAAAACAGCTGTTTCACTTTCAACGGAAATGCTATGCAGAATGGGCGTGAATGAGTAGTGATCAGTTGGGGATTCGATCATCATCGGGTGAGTCAGGTCGAAAATGTGACTAAGCCCCTCTCTGTCCATAAATGAGTTTTTGGATTTTGGCTTGGCGTAGGCTTAATGCGACCAAGTTGGCCTTTTTTCGGTTCTTGGGCCAAAAATTATACTCATATGTTAAAGCAAAGGAGGGATACAGAGAGAGAAATCAATAACAAGTTTGAAATATTAAGATTTGGAAAGGAAAATGGCTCATTCTTACTTAATTTAGCGAAAAATTAACTGTTTAGGCAATAAAAAGATCACAAAAAGACCTTAAAAACTTCCTTTTAATAACAATATAATAATAATCACTAATACTTTCCCGCAGTGTAGCCATTGTCTTTGGACCCGCCTTCGTTAATTTGCATGTCTCTCTGCTGTAGACTCAGACTCGATCTCAGACTCTATCTCCATCTCGATCTCCGTCTGGGGGCCTCCGTCTCAGTCGAGTGATTCCCCCATCTAGATAATCCAATCCATCCACTCCAACACTTGGCCGTCATCCAGTTTCCCTCTTGGCCAACCAGCCCACTTCCTCAAGTGGACAACACCCCCGGACGACAATCAATCGATATATCTATATAGGTACTATATATACCATTACCAATCCGATAAATTAAAGACTGTTTTTCATGCACTTGCCGTTGTGGTTTTAATTAGTAATTGGCAATCGTTGAGCAGATTTCGAATTACCAGGGCCAATGGCTAGAAGGAGGGGGTGTAAGTGGGTGGTTGGTGGCTTTAAGAGGGGCGCCGCTTAATTGCCAACTGATTGTTATGGCATTTTGAATTGCCTTCTGGCACGCCATTGAGTTTGGAACATAAAAAACAAAGAGCTCTGGCAATTTGCATGTCAATCAAGAGAAGATTTTGATAGGAAGCTAAGAACCTAAGCTTTGATTTAACACTCAGTTATTCTTTGCTATAAAAATTAATTATCATTACTAAGTTAGAGTGGACTCACCCACTTAGTCAGTGGAAAACTGTTGGGCAGCTGCTGTTGCCTTATAACTGCCATATTTTGCTATTACTAAACCGCTGCTGCCCACGCTTACGCCCAAAGTCTTCGGAATTCCGCCTGTCACAGCCAGCCAACATCCGTCTCAAGGCAACCCAGCAACGCAGCCCAAACAAACTTTACAAAACTACAGAAAAAAAATCTAAAGAAAAAAAAACTCAATAAAAAAACTCAACTAAAAAAAACTCAGACAACGTTGCAGACAATTTCCCGTTTGGCTGAGGAATGCCGGCAAATTGAAATTGCAATCGAAGAGAAACGACAATTTATTCGCACGACGTCATGTGCTTAACACACTTTGTCACATAAATTAAGATAAATGTATTTATACTTTCATGATTTACATGTTGCTTTATTTTGAAAAGGCTTCTCCTTTAAGGTGTTTTCTTTGCCTGATACTAATGTTTATGAAAACCTTATAATAAGCTTGATAAAAGTACTTATTGGGTTAATTTATGATTGACTTAAAATTAATATATCTCAAATCATTTAATGTCGTAAGAGTTTTTCATACTTTTATGCAAATAAATAAAATTTTATTGAGAAAAACACTTTATCGGTTTTATCATTAACATGATATTAACACATGATGTCATCTTTAACTAACATTCCCTTTGTCCTTTCACTTAAAACATAAACTTATAATTTTAAATGCCTTTTTTTAAGTTTCCAATTAATTTCATTTAATTTTCAATATATTTCATCGAAAAACCAATCAGTTAAAACCCAAACCTTGTTCATGTCAGATTCTTACAACTCTAAATCATAATGATTGGGATTAAGATTTATGATGAATCAGATTTATCATAGATTTAATTATTCAAAGAAGATATGTTAAATAAATTGCTTTATCAATAAAGCCAAAAATATATTTTCAATAAAAATAACCAAATAAAGATACACATTGCTAGATCTGCATATACAATAGTTTTAAGCTGAGAATAAATAAATAAATTTCTCATTTTAAGATTATATTACAAAGTGATTATGGCCTGTCACCCATTATGTATCGAAAACTAATTTAGAAAAAACTGAAAGCTTTTAAAGATTTAAAAATTTGAACTACTTTTTTGGTACATAACCAATATAAATTCTTTTCTAATCTTATTCATTATATATAATATTTTATTTATTATTACTTATTATTATTTAATATTATTTATTATTATTAATTTTATTTATTGTTATTTTGTATGATTTAATATTTTTTTTATTTTTTTTTCAATATTATTTTTTATTATTTAATATTATTTATTAATATTTTGTATTAACTAATATTTATTATTACTTTATATTATTTAATATTTTTTTATTTTTTTCTTAATATTATTTTTTATTTAATATTATTTTTTATTATTTAATATTATTTTTTATTATTTATCATTTATTATTAATTTTTAATATTGTTTATTATTACTTATTCTTATTAATTTTATTTATTATTATTTATTATTATTTATTATTATTTAATTTATTTTTTTTTTTTTTTTAATATTATTTTTTATTGTTTAATATTAATTATTATTATTTATTATCATTTATTATTATTTAATATTGTTTATTATTATTTATCTTAATTTATTATTATTTTTTATTATATATTATAATTTTTTATTACTTATTATTTATTATTTCTTATTATTTATTATTTCTTATTATTTATTATATGACCTTTTTTATTATAAACTATTATTTCTTAGTAATATTGCAACTGAGAACTTTATTTTGTTTTTAAATTTACTTTCATATCATATTTATTTTCCTTTTTAAGCAAAACAATTTAGCATTTGTCACTATTCAAAGCTTATTAATTCCTTACTAACACACAAAATAGTACTCATATTTCTATGACTCATGCCTAAAATATGTTTATTTACTTATTTCGTTACATTTTCTGTTAAAACTCCAATCATTTTAAAAACAAATTAACAAAAGCCTGAATAAAATGAATAAAAATTAAACAAATAAAATTGTTCCATTTACATAAAAAAAAACCAACTTAAATCCCACTGAATTGTCATCGGTTTTTGCCGGCAATGGTAGACATTATCCGGGCCTTAAGCCTTTGCAACCGTCGAAATAGCCAGAAAGATATCTGTGTCAATGTGGAATTTGGCCAGGCTTATTGTGAACAGTCAGTCACAGAGCAAACAAGTCAGGATGGAATGCCGGCTAAGTGGACTCCCCCACTTTCCCAAAAACAACTCCCAAGTAAAGTTACATTTTTTCCCTTATTTGGCCACTGACTGATTCCCAGTTTTTTCTTTTTTTAACTTTTGGCTTTGTAAACAAAGGTGGCAAAACGGGAAAAAACAATGGAATATATGGAATATTCGTGTAAGTTCACTTCACTTCAAGGGTGCCCTGACACCCCTCACCCTCCACTTGGGTCTCACCTTCCTTATGAAACTAAAATGGGGAATGGGGCATGGATGACCCACTGAAGGCACAGACACAGTCGTACCCAGTAGTGAGTGTAGTTTACCCATCCCCCTTAAAGACAAAAACAAAAAACAGGTTTACGACATTAAGTAGTGGGCGGCTCTTACACTGGAAATAAATATTAGGTTTAAAAATGTTATAAAAAAGAAATAGAAATTCCACTAATTTTAAAAGTTAAAGAAAATAGATTGATTTTCTATCACTTTTTTGGGTTTTTTTTCTGATATTTAGTCTCTTTGGTAAGCATATATAGTTAAGATAGTAGCTTTCTATATCATTTTAATGTATATATTAAATATTTAAATTGAAGTTAAGAAAATTGGAGTTAGTTTTTGCATCCTTAAGATACATCTGTAGGGCTTTTGAAACCTTAAGATTTATCTTTCAGGTTTTTGGTTCTTTAAATATAAGAAAAATATTTCAAAAAAAAGGAATTTATACCTTTCAAAGCTCTACGTAAATGTTAAAAAATCTCTATAAACTAAAAATTAAATCTTTAACCTTTTTTAATATATTTCCCCAACATTTAACCCTTTTTTTCCCAGTACACCTGCCTTGCTGTTTACTTTTATTTGCGTGTAATGTCATTTAAATGATTGCTCGATCGCTGACAAAGGCCAACTTGTTTGGCTGCCAAAGTGACGTCATGGCCACTCCACCCACACACACACACAGCAAAAGTTAAAAAACAACATTGCTGTGATATATATAACAGGTCATAAATATCCATAAAGCGATATTGGCCGAAGCTGCTGAGATCATTGCAATTTCTGTGAAAGCCACAAAAAAAAAACCAGGAACGCCTTGAATGAAAAAAACTCCCACAGAAGTAATGCCACTTGATCTAGCATTGCACAACATCTGCTTAAAGGGGGGGTGGGAGTATAAATATATATATACGTATATAAAGTATATATCCACCCCCCCTCTTGATAAAGTATCTTGACCTCGTATAGCTGGAGTGCCTCGTTTCGTGGCTGTTGATCGTCACTGGCAATTAGTAGCGTAATTAAATATTTGTGTACAAATAATTTGTACGACTGTATGCCGCCTGCCTGCCTACATTTTTTTTTATAGATTTTATATATTTTTTTTTATGTATATTTATTTATATTCAAGTGCTCTTGGCGGTCCTTTTGCTTTGATCACAAAATTGCTTATCTTAATGAGTCAGAGAGAAGAGTTTCTCGGCTATATAGTATATATATCTTTTTTTGGGGGGGAATATAAACATTATAGGCAGGGAGTACGAGACAATTGTCTGGGAAAGGTGCCATATGGCGGTTTTTTGTAGCCTTGAGGGGAGTTAGATACCAAGATATTTACAGCCTGTGCGTGTGAAAATGATTCACGAATGTCACCTGCCACAGTCAGGAAATCAAGATGTTTGCTTTTTGGCTTGAAATGTTAGAGTTTTATTTGTATTTTTTGGGTAATTATTAAGGTTTAGCCATAAATTAAGTTAATAATTTGAACTACTGGGGTAAGAATGAGTAATTAGGGAAATAAATTAGATTATAAGTGGAATAAATATATTTTTTATATATTTTTAGAGTGTTTTTTACTGGTTTCTTAGGGGAATAATAGGAAAAAGATAGCCTAAACTGCATAACAGTCTTTGTGATATCATTAAGAAAGCTTGCAGGAACCTGATTAATATAAATATTGCTAAAAAATAAAATATTTAAAATATTTTTATGATTACTAATAATTTTTTAAGGGCCTTATATACTAGTTTCCTAAGAACATCTTTATAAACTGAAGTAAAATCTCTTCTGATATTGTGGTCTTTAAAAAGTTAAAAACGTTTTAGCTAATAACCTTTTCCAAAAGTTAGTTCAGCTTAAAACTTTTTTAAAAACATGTTAATATATAAAATGGCTCTTATTTTTTGCCAAAACCAACCAATTTAGATGCATCTATGCCACAGCTGAAACGGTTTTAAGCATAAAACCTAAACATTCTCTTTGAGTTAACCAAATAACCTAAGAACAAGCTGCCAAAATGAAACTTAAAAATCTCAACAACAATGTAGAAAAAATCCAATAAAGAACAACGTTAGAAACCAGTCAATCGTCAACCATACGAGGTGTGTTCAAAAAGTAAGGTGACTCTTCAAATTTCGCGAATTTCAAATTTTTCGATTATCGAAACCTTTTAGAAGTTATACGAGGTGTGTTCAAAAAGTAAGGTG